CTAGGGGCTCCTGGCCGTACTACTAGTAACAAAGGAGCAAAGGGCATGACTACTAGCAGCAAGAAGCTATTAGGTTGGTTGCGCCTCCGAAGGCGCAGCTCTTCCAAGGGGCTGCCGGTGGCACTGCTGGCGCATTGCCGCGAAGTGAAGGCAGACGCAATGGACGACTTGTGATGATTGTTCACGTTTGTATAGTGTTCTTTTTATCCACCTATGGTTAAGATTTGTTGGGCTGACATTGAGGCATACTTGCGCTGGGAACAAAAAACAAGTTCTGAAAATTATGTATTATCTGAAGTGGTTTGATGAATTCAATCCATGTTTCCGTATGTTTAGGTGTGTTTTTTGTTTGGGATGTTTTTGCTTGTGCTTGTTTTCTTGTTTGGTTTCTAAAGAACTAACAAAAATGTTTAAGTTCTTTTCAACATAACAGAACAAAACTAGTTTCACAGCGCCACAATGTGTGTTCAACTGGTTCCATTGCACCTACTTTCTTTACTCCCTTAGAGTTTAGTTTGTAGGATGCTCTATACAACCCCTCATGTTTTTGGCCTTTGCGAGTTGGGGGTTGGATAGGTCTTCATGTGTTCCAGCATGTTTTCGCAAAATGGCAGGCAAAAGATCAACGGGGTGTTCCCTTGAACATCAAATTGGGAGTGTGATTAAACACCCATACAGGACACCCAAACCCTCATTGCAGCCAAACAGATCTTGGAAACGCAGATATTTGCTGAGTTTGGCAAACATTTTGTAGAATTGCCCAAACTCAAGCCAAACTCAGAGAAAATCTGACATCCTCAAAAGCGCTAGATTCTTAAGGTTGAGTTGAGCCAAACTCATGTTGAACTGTTTTGCCTTTTTTCAGCAAAGAGAATCTGTGCTTCTGAAAGATTTTCTGAGTTTGGGCAATTCTGCCACCTGAGCACACAAATTACGTTGGAGAATCTGATTTTTTCTTGAGTTTGGAGAATTCTTCAAACTCACACTTTGCAGTTCTTAAAACCTTCCAAAGGCAGAACACAACTGGCAAGTTCTGAATATGTTGCTGAGCTTTCAGCTTTGTATTTGAGGAATTTGCCAATCGCCAATCTCAAAGCTCGAGTGTCATTTTGAATTATACAAGTGAGGTTTGGTTAGTTTAGCGTGGGGAGTTCTTATTCTTTGGGCCTCACGCCGGGGGTTGCATTCTTTACTTACGACAAAATCCTACAGGGCCGTTCATATTTCTCTAGGATTTCGCCTTATTTAGGTTGATTCGCCCTAAGCCCTGAAATCTTGATTTTTGTCTATTTCCACAACGCATGTTGCTTGGAAAAGGCAGCCGCATGCAAATTAACGGCAATATTTCATACTTTTCTGTGCATGGTATGTCATGCATATTGTAGGAAATCCGACAACCCTTGGTGAAGTTGGAAATTCATGATGAGATTCATGAAGGCCCCATACCAGAAACAATCTCTGAATCTGAACAGCTAAGGATATTTGGTTGCTTGAGCTTGGATATCCTTTCGTTTTTTCTTTCGGAATGCAGTACTGATTGGAAGCCTGTGCACTTCTTTTGTTGCTGGGGACGGAATCAACATGAATCAGCCAAATCCAAATCGTTTGGGCAAACTTTCCTTATCAAAGCCGTTGTGAAACCATGTCAAGCATCATCCCAAATCAACTCACAAAGGATAATATACCCCGGCGAAGGCACTGGGCACAGATTATAATTCAGCCGTAAACATAGCTATTTGATAAAGCAATTCTGCAAGTGCTTTCATTGGATTTGAAGCTGGTCAATCTCCTGTCCTTTCACCAAGTCCCATCTCCTTCGACAATCCCAAGCCACAAACACATCCTGCACCAACACTTGGAAAATCGGAGCAAGGACGCTACTAGAAGCTCCTCGCATTACTACTAGGAGCAAATAGCTACTAGTAACAACGGCATCGCTACTAGTAGCGTCCTTGGAAAATTGGAGTGACAACGATTTTTATCGGTGGACCCACTTGGTTTCGGGAAGTGTGATTCGAAAAGATTGAAGCGTCTTTCTGCGACTGTTTCAGAGAGTCAGGTACAGTCAGACAATGACTGTGTTTTGCCTTTCGCTATTGGGTTGGAGGTCATTAGCAACTCCCAAAGGCTCATTGGATCCTCATAGCTAGGGTTTTGGACCTCACAACCAGGGTTTTGGACCTCAAACATGTAGCAGTTGGTTGGGTCCATGAGCTATTAGTAACTTAAAAGAAGATTGAAAGAATAGGAGCGATCGGACGCTACGAACGGGACTCCTGGCCTTACTACTAGGAACAAGGACACTACGAACGGAGCAAGTAGTAAGGCACTTGTTCCTAGTAGCGATGCACTTGTTTCTAGAGAGTTTCGTTCTCCAGTTGGGCGACGGCATGTCCAGCACACCGAGAGTGTTGAGACCGTGAGCCGCGGGCGAAAGAAGCTTCCTTCTGGTCGTGATCGCGTTGGACAACTCCTCACAGGCGCACCGTGGCGCACTGTGGTGGACACTGTGGCGTGTGGGTTGTGGAAGGAACCTTTCTTTGTTTCGCTTTGGAAACCAAAAGAAAACACAAAAAGGAAGAGAAGTACTTCTTTTCTTTGTAGCTTCGTAGAAAGAGCTTTCGCAAGGCTGTTTCTTGGTGCTTGCTCTTGCTTCTACATCCGGAAACTGGTTTCAGGTTTTACCTACCAGAAAGTTCAGGTTTTCTGAGGTGGATGGTGTCAGCCTGGTATTATAATTTGTGGCCATTCTTGTACTTTCTTGGTTTGTCGAGGTTGGTTGGATAAAGCTGTCCATACTTGGCCTGTGCAACATTTCTTGTGGGTTCAAATTGTCCGATGAATGATCTATGGGTTTTTAATATGCTTTTTGCGCTTCTGGTGAAGTTCAGGTGGGTTTCAGAAAGGGTTTTCATGTGGACACTTGGCTGTTTGACTTTTTGTAAGATTTGTTTTTGGGCCGGACTGAAGTTGAAAGGCCACCTTTGACAGAACTTGATAGAACTAGGTAACTAGAGTATGTTATAGTGCCTTACTAGTAGTAACAAGAAGCTACTAGGAACAAGTGCATCGCGACTAGGAACAAGTGCCTTACTAGTAGGAACAAGAAGCCAAGAGAGAAACAAGAAGCCCTTTCGCTTCTCTCGCTTGTATGTTTGAAATCCCATAGAGTCCAAGCAGCTACATATGTTCGCATCTCACTTTGTTCGAATTGATCTCAGAATGCAAATGCATCAATGGTGACAAAATTTGATTTCAACGTTTCTTCTGCGCTTTTGCCTTCTTTTCGAAAGAGAATGTGTTCCATTTTCGAACAGAAGGGTGATGTTTGCTTTTTTGCAGACGTGCGCTGTAGAGTCACCAAGAGAAGGTGAAGAGAAACCCGTTTTGGGTGTCCTCTTTTCGATCAGGTGAAGCCTCGCAGCTTGGAGCGGAGCAGACGGGAAACGGCATTTCGAATGCTCCGCAGAATGCTCCGCAGAATGCTCCGCTATGCTTATATGTGTCCGTTGTGTTTTCGACAGATCAACAGGTGTTCAACGTGATTTCAGAATCACTTCGATTTCGAGATGTGCAGGGCAAAACGACTGGAGAAGCTCGACACGAAACACGTTTGCCCTCAGACTTCCTGTTGTTTCTGAGGCCTGCTCATATTGCCCAACGAAGCCATGACTAAGCCTCAGGTTGGAAAAGAATCGAAGTGATGAAAGGTTGAGGAGTCGACATGGGAAGAGATCAGTTCGGTGATGGCGATAGAACGCGACAAGACTCGTTGTGACTAGCAGTGGCATTGGTTCAGTAAAGCCAGTCAGCATATCGGTGTTGAATTTTTGTAGGTTGTGCAACGTTCAAATTGTTCACTTGTTCACATGTTGAATATGAATTGAACACATATGAATAAACTATTAGGTTAGAGGCAAGGACGCTACGAACGGGGCTCCTGGCCTTACTACTAGTACGTAACAAGAGAAAGCTAGGAGGTTGGAGGCCGCTGTTGGAATGAAGGCCATCGCTGAGTCCTGAGGTCGGAGCTGCGTCCCAGGTGGACGATGTCGTGCTGCATCGGGATATTGATGGTGCGCGGAGTTCGGGTTTGCGACACGATGTGCGGAAGGAAACAAGAAGCATAGAACAAGGTTTAATGAAGATAAACCAAATAGCGAAGGCCTCCAACCTAGTAGGAATGGCCATTCCTATTAGGTTTGATAAAGATGAACATCAGGAGGTTTTGCTGTCTTCTTTTCCTTTGCCCGAGAAGAAGATGTGATTCGACAATTGTCCTTGGACCATTGGAGGCTCCAATCTGCAATTCCAGGAGTTTGCTGAGCTCATGGCAGGCAAAGAAGCTCAATTGCTTGCGAATTGCTTGCGGCAATTGAGAAGAGATGTAAGAAAGATCTATCTAGCTTCTTGTTACTAGTAGTATGGCCAGGAGCCCCTAGTAGCGTCCTTGCTCCTAGTTGCATTGTTTGCATTTGTGAACAGCCACGAGGTGCAGCTGGTCGCCGTTGTGTCTTGAGCTTGGTTTTGTGACGAATTGTCAAGCTGGCCAGCTTCAGCTCAAGCGAGGGACTGAGGGCTGTGCCATGCAGTCTAGGTCGGTGCACAGGATAGAGTGGAAGGGAAGCGACACAAAGAGGCCGTGCGTGCCCTAACTGACGTCACTGACGTCACTTAACTGTGTCAGGCGGCGCATGGTGTTCAGTGTGTTCAGTGTCTTCATTGTTGTCTTTTTCCAGACATTTTCTTTGGACTTCTTGTTAGAAGTCTATAATAGTCTATATTGAACTTTGGAAGCACGTTCTGCTTGTGATTTGAAGCCCGTGTCATTTGCTAAGGTCACGTCATTGGTGCAGGAAGTCTTCAGCAGCTTGGAAAGAAGCACAAAGAAACTGACATACCAAAGCAAACAAGCTGAGACGAAGTCGAATGTGATTTGTCTTCTTTTATTTGTTACTACCAGTAAGGCACTTTGTTTCTAATAGCAAACATTGTTTCTAGTAAGGCACTTGTTCCTAGTAGCGTGGCACTTTGTTCCTAGTAGCGTTTATTCGTTGATGTGTGATTCTGAGGCCCCGAATCGCCCCCACTTCAGGCACGGTCCACACTTTGCACCGTTGTGCGCTGCGCTGCTTTGAGTTTTAAGCTGAACAATGTTTTTCTTGATAGCGACTCCGTTAGTAGATTGGAGGCCATCGCTTCTAGGTTTGAGGGCATTGCTTCTAGGTTCTATTTTTCTTTGTGTTGCTGGCCTCATTTTTTACGATCTAGAGGCTCAGCGACCAGCCCGGCGGCGCATTCCTGCTTCGCTCTCAAACAAATCACATGTCTATAATGAGACATGTGTCCATGTGTTCGAATTCCACATCAGATCCTTCGTACAAGTGACCTATTTGCTAGCCGGAGAGGAGCAGTGGCAACGGCCTGCTTTGTTTGTAAAACACCTAAGCACATTGACTGAACACAGAACACAGGACTGCGGGGGTGTCAAGACTTCAGACCTTTCGTCCGAACCGAAAAACAGAGGCTTGGAGGCAAGGACGCTACTAGTGGCTCCTGGCCTTACTAGGAACAAGTGCATCGCTTCTAGTAACAAGTGCCTTACTACTAGGAACAAGGACGCTACTAGGAGCAAAGGCCATCGCTATTGGAATGAATGCACATCGCTTATGAGCTGACACTGAGGTGGCTGCAGCGTCCCTGGTGGATGATGTGGTCCTCGATCGGGACATTGACGGCCAGTTCCCGAGACGAAACGGACGAGGGAGAAGTCAGCAAACGGACCTTCCGAAGCAAGTTCGCCGTCGGCAAACATGAGCAAAGTAAGCAAACATTGTTACTACTTGTTTCTAAAGCTTCTTGTTACTACTAGCTTCTGTTTGCTTGTTGGATGCACAAGCGAAATCTAGTAAGCAACATAATTCTAACTTTCTTGGCTTACGCACAGCTCTACAAGAAACCAAGCCGACATGTAAGCCAACGCAGAACGTTTTGAGGTTCCAGACAACGCTTTCTGGATTACGCAGAGCTCACAGCCGGTGGGGAGCCTCAACATGGTTCAACCATGCAAAGGATTCTGTGTCCTTGCATTTAGATTTATTACTATGAAGCTTCTCGCTGAACAAAGCTACCAAGTCTGCCTATCTTATCCTGGCTCCCTTTCTCTGGCTTTCACGGGGCTTTCTGCTGCACGAAGGCTCTCTTCGTCTCTGTGTTTTCGTTCTCGCGCTTTCTCAGTCTGTCGCCGCTTCGCCCCACGGCCCGAAGGACGGAGTCCGTTCACTCCTCGTAGCGATGCCCGAAATGCCCCGTTCGTAGCGTCCGATCGCTCCGTTCGTAGTAAGGCCAGGAGCCCCGTTCGTAGGCTCCTTGTTCCTAGTAGCGATGCCATTTGCTCCTAGTAACAAGAAGAACAGTCTCAACTTTGGCCCCACCCCTGTCTGCTCGTGGCCAGAATTTTGGTCTGAGCTGCTACCGCTGGTTTTGCCGGGTATTGCTGATACTCCTAAACATTGTCACGCTCTTGAGAAAAGGTTCAAGACAATTGAAAAGAATAGAAAAAAGTGAAAGAGGAAATGAATCACTCACCAGAAATCGAACAAAAACACGTTGGCTGTGTGTGTAAGGGAGATGGCTTTCAAGCGGCATTGCCAAGCTGGACAAGCTGGAACACTTGACAAAGCCTGAAACTCTCGCTCTCCATATATTGGTTTGACTCGAAAAGGAAAGCACGTTTTCTTGCTCATGTATGTTTTGTTATAGACCTTTGATGGTTCGAATTCCTTTCTTTCTGGGCGTTACTTGCCCGTTTTGGTGACCACTCTCTGAAACCGGTTTTTCCTTTGTTTCTCTGTATGTGGCAAGGGCCAGTGAGAGCAGCTTGTGGTTAGTAACTTCTTGTTACTGGTAGAAATGCCAGGAGCTACTAGTAGCGTCCTTGCTACTAGTAGCATCCTGTTGTTCCTAGTACCCTTGGCCTCCACCCTACGGCCACCAACCGTCGAAATGAGGTGCTGCCGGCCGTCCATGTGTCGAACGCTAAGGGACGCATTACATCCATGTGTGGGAGGGAAAAATAGAGACGAAAGGCAATTCCAAAGATCCAAAGAACGAAGACAAGAAGTCATGATGTATCGTAAATCAAAGAATAAAAGTTAAACAAACACACGTTTGACAAAGATTATTTGAAGTTGTCTTTTTAGATATTCGTCCTTTGCTTTACAGCGCTCGAGGTCGGAACGCAGGAACGGCAAGATGGCCGTGTGCCACGAAAGCACCTTCCAGCCGAGTTCTCGGAGTCCTTCAGAGACGGTTCTCGGTCCTTTGCATCATTTTGCATCTAGTAACAAGTGCCACGCTAGTAGTAACCGGTGCCTTACTAGTAGTAACAAGAAGCTACTAGTAACAAGTGCCTTACTACTAGGAACAAGTGCCTTACTAGTAGTAACAAGAAGCAAGAAACTACTGTTCTCGGTCCTTTGCATCTACTTACAAGGACGCTACTAGGAGCAAAGGGCATCGCTACTAGTAACAAAGGGCATTACTAAGAGCAAAGGACGCTACTAGTACTACCTTTTTATTGTATGTAAAACATGTATTCTTTCTGGTGAACATGCTATTTGCCACAGGTATGAGCCGCCAAGCAAGGATTTTTGTCGGACTTGGTGACTTGTGTGTTTTTGCTTGTTGAGAGAAACGAGCTTCTCTTAGTGTAAAACACCTGGGTGTCAAAGTGGCAAACGGGCGACACTCTCTTCGACCTAAAGAAGCTTCCGGCCACTCTCCAAAAAGTGGTCTGCTATACAGTTCGATTCGCAGTCAAATTCCGTCATCGTGCAAGCCTAAAGTAGGGTTATACAATGTTATAAAGACAATCCAAGATGTAAAGCGGTGTGAGGAAGGCTCCTAATGCCAGGAGTTGTCAAAGTAAGCCGCCGTGAAATTGCTCTCAAAGTTCTGTGGCGCAGGGTGAACAAAGTGCTTGCAGATGTCTTTGCGTGATAACTGGATCTTCAAAACGACAGATGTTTTTGCCGGAAACATGTTTCAGTGAAAAGACGCTGTAGAAAAAAATATAACATGTTTCAGGGGTTGCGAACATATGCTCCAAATCGATGGATGGGGAAAGACGCCGTTTGGACGCCTGCAGATGCTGTTTCTTATTGGTTTCTCACCTCGCTACCATAACATTTTCCGGTTTACAGCTTGTCGCAGCAAAAACCGCGTCTTTCGGAAAAGGTTTTGAGCTTTTTCGGTAACAATTAAGCTACTAGGAACAAGTGCATCGCCACTAGTAACAAGTGCCTTACTAGTAGTAACAAGAAGCAAACAAAACAAATATGAAATGCGTTTCTTCAATGTGTCGTTTCGAAGAGTCTGGTTGAGTGGTTGAGTGATGTCTAGTGGAGGCCATCACTCTGGAGGCCATCGCGAGTAGGTTGAGTGTGATGTGATGTATGTTCTGTTCAGCCGCGCCTTCGGCCTAAATCCTCATGTCGTTGCGCGGGTGTCTTGATCGAGAGGTCGTTGTGTGGCTTTCCTATTTAATCACCGACCATTAGGCATGCTGCGGAATATGTGGCACAAGACCTCTTTTTCGTTCATTACGTTCATCTTGTTTTTTTTTGTGTGTTTGTATGTGTTTTTTTTTATGTGTTTCTTCTTCTAGACCTTTAGAGCCTCCTTTTTGTGTTTCTTGTTGCCGTGTTTTTACCTTAGACTTTGGGTGTCCCTTTAACCCTATTCTTCACAGTGCATTGACCTTCTTTACATGATTCTGTTTTTGTAGTTCTGTTAGACCTTTCCTATGTCGACGCTCTGAAGAGAGGTTGAGCCACATGGCTCCCTTCTCACAAAAGCTCACAAGTGCGCACTGCATCAAAACATCATTTCTTATGGCCGCCCAAGACAATGAAGATGTGTTTCCCATAGTGATGAAGCACAACCCGATCACCGAGCTTTCAACATACATATTGCCTCATAAGAAGGTCTACCAAAGGTCTAGGACCCAAATCGGCGCTGAGGTCGGTGCGGCTTCCGGTTTTGCCGTGCCCAGCGCCGATGACGCCGTGTCATCGTTCGTGGCTTTGACGGCGGGCGCTGCGGGCCGCCGCTACGCCGGGGCCGCAGCCCGAGCCGAGGGGCGACGCTGCTTCCAAAAGGCGGGATGTGCTTTGGCATTGTTGCTAGGAGCAAGAAGCTACTAGTTTGGACGCCAAGCTCATTTTTTGAGCCGGCTCCCACTTGAAGTAAAGAGCTAAACACGCTACTAGCAATAGGAAGCTCCTAGCTAGGGATGCAGGATGGCCCAGGCTTTTGCTAAAAGGACAGCTTTGTGTTTGAAGCGGGGCGACGGGCACAAGTCCTATTCAGGGGATGTTGTTTCAGAGTACAACAAGAATTCGCTGCATGTTGAGCATGTGCCCAAAAATTGGTCAAAGATATGGAAGATATGGAAGGACACAACTTCAAACATGGAACGTAATCGCGACCAAAAACCAGGTCTAACTGTATAACAGTACTCTTCCTGTCCGCTGCTCCCCATCGCTTTGTAATTAGGTCCTGTGGTACCTTGATCCTTTGGTCCCCTGGTCCCTGGCATCCTTTCTGGTTTTTCTCGTGCTCCTTCGGTCTCTTGCTCCTAGCCCTTGCTTGTCCTTGGTTTTTTGTGGTCGCTGCGTCGCTCGAAGTCCAGAAGAGAATTAAGATGCTGCACCCTCCAGCCTTTGGTTAGCTAGAACCACCTCCAATCTGCACTGGAGGTCCACCGATTTTGCCATGACGCCCATGACGTGGACCAGTTCCTAAGAGCGATGGCCTCCAACCGTTCGAAGCGATTTGGTTTTATCAGACATGGCTTTTTAGGAGTGCGGCCCGGCGAAGAAAACTACTGCTAGGATGCCCGATGGATCCGATTTGGTGTGCCATGTGTCCCAAAGAAGTTTACCGTGGCGTTGGAGGCCATCGCTATTGGGAAGCCTAGTGGGAAATTCTTTGCTTCGTAAATTCTTTACAGTTGTCAGTTTCAGAACCTCGACATTCTAAGCATGAGCTACCCTCCCAAAAAGAGACCTGTTTGCATGTTAAGCAACTTTGATGTAAACATATTTGCATGGTCAAGACATTGGTTTGTTATAGCTTACAACTAACAGCTACAACTAATAGCTACAACTAACAGCTAACAAACTGTACTTTGGAGTCTTGCACTGCGTGATTATAATAGGTCTCTCTTTGCATGTAGATTGCGCAGTCCAGAATTTGCTTTCTCTTCTTGCATTGCAATGGTTCACCGTAAAACGTCTGACATCATTGAAAGTGTCAGTGTCAAGCAGACATTTGCAGCGGGTGAGCAGCACTTCGCAAAACATGTTCAAATCAGTGAGCATCAAGTTGGACATAAAGAAGCTACTAGCAACAAGGGCATCGCTACTAGGGGCGCTGGCATTACTAGGGGCTTACCAAGACGACACAAGTTGTCAGGTCCACGGCACCAATACGGCCCTGAAACGGTGGTATTTTGCTACGTATGTTTGGTATTTGTTTGGCAGAGATGGACCTTCGATATTCGTTTGGCTGTGTATCGTTTTGGTGATGCTTATGAGGGATGTGGATTTGCTTCTTCTTATACAAACCAATTCGAACGCGGTTCAAAAATCTCTGGTTTTATGTTCATTGTTTTGATGCAGAGGAGTTGACGCATTGCAATCAGTAGCAAACCGTCCTACTACAAAGCGCAACGCAGACGCCTTTAAACAGGTCCTACTACAATCAATGAGTGTCACATTGGGACACGGTGACTAAATCATGCTTGCACAGTAGGGCCAACAACCATTCCATATTTGGATATGTTAAATTTCTATTTAGCACATGGTGTTCGATGCAGGAACTGAACTCTTTAGGATGCAAGTTCAGACCAAATAGGACATTAGGTCCATTAGGTTCTTTATTAGACTAAGTCTCAGGCTTATGGCACGCATGAAAACTTACACTCGTATAGCATCCCTTTCTGTTGTTCAAGGGTTGGTTCACGTGGAAACGGCTTTGATGCAAAGAAGTGGGAGAAAAATGCAGCTTTTCTGATTTGAGTAGAATTCATGCTCCATTGGTCAAAAAACACCTTCTTCTCTTTGTGTGCTTTGTCAACCTGCAGGCTTCAATGATGAAAGAGATTTTCAGCTCAGGTCTTAGAGATGGCTCAGCTTCTCAGAACCAAACATCTCAGATGTTCATGTTTTTAAAAAACTAGCATCGGAATTCTGGATTGTCCTGGAGGTGAGGCATTGTGAGGCATTGTGCCCAGTTGCCGGCGTAGGTGAACATGGGATTTCCAAGTGTTTTTGTTGACAAAACCTAGTAGCGTCCTTGCTCCTAGTAGCGATGCCAGGAGCCCCTAGTAGCGTCTTTGCTCCTAGTTGTTTTTGTTGACCAAAGCGGATGATCTGCAGACGCAGATTTCCTCCGCAGTATTCACACAGCGCTTGCGGCGCTTGCGCTTTTGCTAACGCAGTGGCGCCAACTACTGGCCACTCAGTTGGACCATGCGCGCTGAAACTCAAGTGCGCAAAAAAAGCCTGTGTTTCTATATCTATTAGTAGCGTCCTTGTAGCGATGCCAGGAGCCCCTAGTAGCTTCTTGTTCCTAGTAGTACGGCCAGGAGCCCCTAGTAGCGTCCTTGCTCCTATGTTTTTCTAATAAACTTGAGCAAATGACATGTTGATAGTTTTTGTTTGAGACTTGAGTTGTAACATGTATTTCTTTGTCCATTACATTGAGCACTCTTGCAGTTGGCAAACATCAGTTATTTGTCTCCGAAAAATTTGGAAGTACCTTTCCAGCGATTTCGAGAAGATCGCACGGAGGAGTGAACGAGTGAACGCAGTGAATTTCTCGTGACATGCCTTTCTTCGTCGTTTTCTTTTGCAGTGTGGAGGACATCTCATTTAGGAGCAATGTTCGCTACTAGGTGGAGGCCATTGCTATTCTGTTGGAGGCCATTACTGCTAAGTAGCAATGTTCCCTACGAACGGAGCAAATCGGGCATCGCGAACCGAACGGAGCGATCGGACGCTACGAACGGGGCTCCTGTTGCCGTTCTGAAGCGAACACCAGCTGCTTCTGCCGGCCAGGAGTGCACCTGAGATGTTTGGCCACTGAACTGCAGAGAGTCCCATAACTTGAGAGCAACTGATGTCTTAGAAAATAGAACCCTTTCTTCCTTTTCCTGTTTTTTTTTCACAAGATGTTTCCACATGTCCAGCGATTGACTGATGCATATGATTATCAGTTGCATGATGTCATGTTGTTTCTTTCTTGATGGTTTTGTTTGGTTTGGTTGCTTTTGCAGACAACCCAAACACACCCAAGTCATATGCCTGAAAATAGATAGCATACAGTCCACCAAGGCGGCTGTTGCTGCGCAGACTCCCAGGTGCAGAACATTTGCAAGTCACGAGCAAGCTACCAACAAGCGCATCGCTACTAGGAGCAAGAAGCTTACTAATAGCCAAGTGCATTACTACCAGTAACAAGAAGCTACTAGTAACGATGCACTTGTTACTAGTAGCTTCTTCTTAAGCCAGCAACGAACAATTTGTCAACGTCAGGATGCTTTGGAAGCTCAGTTCAATTTGCCCATTGCTGATGAGAAGACTGTGCCCTATATTGCCACCGAAAAGAGGCCGAGAGAGTCTAGAAGTGGATGGGCTGAGTTGGAAGAATTATGATGATGATGGCTCTAATTTGTTTCTCTTTCACCTTTAGTTGTCCTCCTTCATTTTTTTGGTTCTAAATGTTTTGCAAGACTTGAAACCGAAGTCAACGCATTTGGCAGGGTGGGTGGCGCACAGGAGAGAGTGTCGCGCCGCGCTGTGAGCCGTCTACGTTGCACCGTCCCGTTGTACTGTTGTCCGTTAGATTCGTGTGGCCAGAGGGTGTGGTGACCTAGGAACAGGAGCAAGGACGCTACTAGGAACAAGGGGCATCACTACTAGGAGCAAGGATGCTACTATTAGCTCCTGGCCTTACTACTACGAGCAAGGACGCTATTAGTAACAAGGGCATCGCTACTAGGAGCAAGGACATCGCCCACCCTCCCTCCTGGACTGCCTGAGAAGATTCGGGTTAGCTGCCAGCTGCTGCATCCGCCCCCACTGTGTGGCAAGCATGCGTGCAGAACGGTGTCACTTCTTGGTCTAAAGAGAAGGAGCGTTCTGTTTGTTGGAACCTTTCGATATTTTTTGCTGGCCTGTCTCATGTTACGTCATGTTTGATTGAACTCTTTTGTTTTCGGTTCATGCTTTGATTTGGTTTGCTTCAAGAAGATTCTGCCCCAGGGAATGAGCAACATCCAACAAAAGCCATTGTGCTTTGAATGCACCATTTCTGGCAGAAAAGCAGCTACAAAAGGCCCCCCATGAAACATGTTCTTTCGAAGCCTGCTCGATAGTTTGCCGTTCTGTTGAACTTTGGCCATGTCTCCTGCTTCATGTCCTTCAGGCCATCGCTTCTAGTAGCAAAGGACGCTACGAACGGGGCTCCTGGCCGTACTACGAACGGAGCAAGGACGCTACGAACGGAACAAGAAGCTACTAGGAACAAGTGCATCGCTACTAGGAGCAAGGGCCTTACTAGTAGTAACAAGAAGCTACTAGAAACAAGGACGCTGCGAACGGGGCGACTCAGTCGATCCTCCAACCTCGACTGCGAGTTGTGCTCCAACCTCGACAACTCCAACTCCGTCACTGCAGCTGGCTTTTGGTCTGTGCTTTCGGCACAGCTTTCCATGTCTCTTTCTCGAACCATTTGGACCTGGATCTTCCGGTACCAGTCCAAACACTCTTGCAAGTTCCTTTCTGTTTTCACTATTTTTGTGTGGTGGAGTTCTTCAATCCTTCTTTCAGTACAAAGCAGAGCAATTGGTTCGTGATCAGATGCATCCGGGGCTTAGCCATGTATAGATGACAATCACCCACCTCATCACACCTGTTGCACTTTGTTGCACTGCTCTGTCATTGGACGGTGCCTTTGTGCAATTTTTTGCGTCTTGGTCGGTTCCACTCTTGGACATTGACTTCTTTTACTAGACTTGTTGAGATTAAAACAAGAATGCTACGAACGGGGCTCCTGGCCGTACTACGAACGGAGCTAGGACGTTACTAGTAGTAAGGCACTTGTTCCTAATAGCGATGCACTTCTTACTAGTAGCTTCCTACCCCCCCCCCGCGCGCACGCGAGCGCGAAAAGGTCCTAGTAGATTCCTTTTCTAGTAATTACAAGTGCC